CTGACGTTTGTTCAGCAGGAATCTTGATTCTGCATTTGAAGGGAAAAAGCGACAAAGCAAGCGAATAATTTTACAGTCTGAGCCTTTTCGGAATGGAGTCTCCCCGATGGTCCCCAATATGGGTTTCATGTCAGATTACCTGTACTTCAGAGGGCAATAGCATGGAACTGTTTGTTTTAACAAAGCAAACTCGGGCAATTTTCTTCCTGTTCCACTTCCGGTACTACTAACATTTTCTCTTCGTAGTTTTCATGGGGGTACACTTGTCGATTGATATAGGATTCATTCTATTCCTGAGCTTGTGGTGGCTGGGGAGATAGGATTGGCTGTAATCACTACACCCAGCAGCTCATGCGAGAACCGCCAAACTACGGCTTGAATATTCCACGTGACGACGGTCGGCCACATTGGAAGCGAGGAAATGACGAAACTCGCCGACGCGGTAACAGCCAGTCGTGTGGCTGGTTCGCTTCGCTTCGAGCGGGGCCATCTCAGTGCAAATGTCCAGGCTACCAAACCAACCAACTCACAAACCCCAGCATGTCCCCACCCCAGGGCTCCTAGTCTGTTGTTTGTTGGTGCTTGTTCCCAACCTCCGCAGACCCTCCTGTCCCCTACCATCACTTCCTCTGAAACAACAGAGTGACTACCACTGATTGTTGTAAGAAGTATTGGCCTGCATTATTCATACTATGTCAACTATACCTGACAGTTTCACCAGATCTAGTTGTATTGTAAAAGACACCGTGTTTTCAAAGTGATTTTGGAAAGGCATCCTGCTCCTTTGTACCACTGCTACCAAAATCGCCCAGTATGCAAGAGCTACAGGAATACTTGCAGAGACTTCAAGAGGAGCGTGTGAAGGTGTTGCTGTTCAAGAGGGAGTTGCCTCTGTGCGCAGAACTCATTGACAACGGTAATAAGTTATAGAGGGTCTTCTCTCTCTCTCTCTCTCTCTCTCTCTCTCTCTCTCTCTCTCTCTCTCTCTCTCTCTCTCTCTCTCTCTCTCTCTCCCTCTCTCTCTCTCTCTCTCTCTCTCTCTCTCTCTCTCTCTCTCTCTCTCTCTCTCTCTCTCTCTCTCTCTCCCCCTCCCTCCCCCCCCCTCTCTCTCTACCTCCCCCTCTCACATTCCTTATTTCTCTCTATACCTCTCTTTAACACAGTGTCCTCCCCCCCTCTTCCCTCCATCCCATTGTGCATTTATCACAATATGTCACCCTCTTTCGCCTTCCCCCCTCTCACTCTCCCTGTCTCCTTCTCACACTCCTTTTTTGTTTTCCATGCCTCTCTCCATCTCAATGCCCTTCCCTTCCTCTAACCTCCACCCCATTGTGCGTGGAACACAATGTATCTCCTTCCCTCTTCTTTCCCCTTCCCTATAACTAGCCACGGGAAGTTATGTGCGTCTAGACAAAAGCTTCCATCAAGAAGCAAACATACAGCGCGCCACTACACTATCTACGACATTTGTAGGGTCATGGGACAAGAACTGCATAACGCATTAGCATATAATTGTACGGATGTGTAATTACATTCACACATGCACGCACACACACATGCACGCACGCACTGCGCGCGTCGCATGAAAAAAAGGAGCAGAAACACGGAGTAGGTACACGGTAAAGGTACGGTGTATGGACGCTGTGTACGTTAGCCACGGAGTATAACCATTACTACTATGTAGGTGAGTGCCCAAATTTTGGGACATAACACACACACACACGTATCATAATAAGTATGAATGCATTTGTGTGGATATTGTTCAAACACATGCATATACATATTTATGCACATGCATGCATTGGCGTGATTCACATGCGTATGCATACGCACAATCACATGCTTCTGGAGCATATATGCATGCATACATGCAAGCGCATTCATATATCTTTCACACACTTTCGTAAGAAAAAAACTTCACATTCACTTCCCTTCCATCCACATTTACACTCCAGTTGTTATTTCTACCTACAGACGATGATTTTCACCAGATTTTCCAGAAGACACCGATCTCCCCTCCCCGCTTTTCCACCTCTACAGCGTTCTGGATACATGAACCCCAAAACACTCACCATGGCCATCACTTCAGATCTTAGTTTCTAGCTTCACATTTCTAGCAGTGTTTCTTTCTACATATGATGACAATGTCTTTCAGAGACGCAGTTGGTTGATTTCAACACAGCGTTCTTTCAGCAATCGCTAATTATATCCATATTTTCGTGTGTTTCTACTTCCATCCTACCCTTGACTCTCTTTTGGCAGCTATTACTGACACGAAAAGCCGCATAGATGCAATGAAGCGTTGTGGCGAAGAACCAAATAGGAATGGGCAGGGGAAAAGCCGGCAAGAGTCTAGAGATACAGAAAGGGAAGAGGAGTTGGAGGCAGGAGATGTGGAGTTGATCAGGAGGGCAGAAGGCATGGCAGAAGGCATGGCAGAAAGAACAGGAGGGAGAGATGGAGAGGAGAAGAAAGAGGAGGGGTCAAACAATAAGGTTTATGATTGGATGGAGGTCAACAAAAGTGAGGAAGCACAAGCGGGACAACTGGTGCCAGAAGCAAGGAAAGAGGGTCAGCAAGTTGAGTCCTTGAGCACTCACATGCAGAATGAAAAGAAGGGTGGAAAGCAAAGGAGAGTGAGAGAAGAGTGGAAGGAGGAGCGAAAACAGGGGGGGCTCCTAGAGAGGGGCAAGGAGCAGTCTAAGAAGAGAAGGAGAAAAGGAGCGGAGGGGTTGTTGGGAGGTGGTGTTGACGTGGATGGTATGCTCATGCCTGCATGGGCAAAGAACTGTTGCGATCTATCTAATATTGGAGATAAAGGCTCGTTGGAGCTTAGAGGTCTAAAGGGGAAAGCTTGTAGAGAGGACGATGGACAAGGGGAGGAGGGCAGAAGATCGGATAAGGGACGGGAAGATAAAATGGGAGGGAGGGCAGAAGGGGTTAAGAGGAGAGTGGGAGATGAGGCTGAGAGAAGAGAGACGAGAAAGGAGGCTGGGGACAAAGAGCAGAACGAGGTTGAGAGAGAGACTGATGATTGTGAAGAAGGTGGGGATAAGGAGGAGCTGACACCAAGGAAGGCCGTACCCGAGGGTGCGGGCGTCATGAGGTGGGAGAAGAGTAGCGGGCGAGCGATGACAGTACCATCATCGATGTACTTGGCACTTAGTCTTGGCAACCCGAGCATGCGAGGGAGTGGAAGGAACAGGAGAGGGGAAGGGGTTATCACAGAGCAGAGTGCGGAGGGGAATGAACATTTGAAGGAGCGTGGAGAGGAACACAGAATGGAACATGGGCAGGAGCCTATAAGGAAGGATGGAGAAGAGTGTGGGGAGGAGCGTAGGAACAAAACGAAGGGACATGGGACAACAAAAACGAACGAGAGTAGAATCCAGATGAGGGAGTGGGGCATGGAGCTTGGACCCTTGTGGGAGGATCGGATGGGGCAGAGTGCAGCAGGCATAGAAGTGGCCACAGCGGAGGCAGCAAAAGTCACTTCGGCAAGTGCCGCTGATGGGGCTGCTGTTGTGGCTGGAAATGCCATGGTTGCTTCCTCATCTCATGCTGGTGCTGTCACTTCTGTCGCTGCTGCTACACATGCTACTGTTGCTGCCACTGCTGCCACCGCTGCCACTGATACCACTGCTGCCACTGCTGCCACTGCTGCCACTGCTGCCACTGCTGCCACTGCTGCCACTGCTGCCACTACTTCCACTGCTGCCACTGTCACCGCCACTGCTGCAGCTGCTCCCGCCTTGCCTACCCCAGCTGCAGTACCTCTTGCATCCGCAGCTGCAGCAGGCGGAGTGCAGCGAAGGCTGTCGCTCTTCTCTTGTGGTGGTGAGGTAAGCTGGGGTGATTTAACCAGGGGGGATAGGGGTGATGATGGCAGCAGAGGAGACAAGCTTGATGAGGGAACCGAGGTGTTAATACACAGGTATCAGCAAGCAGGGCAGAATGACAGAGGCATTGCCGCTGGTATGGATGTTACCGGTGCTGCGGTTACAACTGGTGTTGATGCTGCTGGCGCTTCTGATGGTGTCAAGGGTGCTGGTGGTGCTAGCGGTGGTGGTGGCGGCAGTGGTGGTGGCGGCCGCGGTGGTGGTGGTGGTGCTGCTGCTGCTGCTGCTGCTGCTGCTGCTGCTGCTGCTGCTGCTGCAGATGATACAGCAACAGGTGCCAAGCCATGGGCCAAGGCAGGCACTGCTGCCGCTTCAAGTACTGTAGCAGTGGCAGGAGCATGGGCAGCAGCAGGCGTAGAGCCACGAGTTGAAGCAGGCATCACTGGTTTAGGTTCTGCAGCATTGGGAGCAGCAGTTGAGGAAGGAGTAGGGGATGGAGTAGGGGTAGCAGCAGGCGCGGAGCCACGAGTTGAAGCAGGTACAACCCCTGGTTCAGGTTTGGCAGCATTGGGAACAGCAGCAGGCACAGAGCTGCGACTTGGGGCAGGCACGGCTTACAAGGTAGCTAGCAGCGGCTGCACAGGATCAAACACTGGCGTAGAGAAGCAGGGCGAGGGCTTGAAGGAGGGGTGCGGGAGAAGGGAACCAGGTGGAGGGAAAAGGAGAGAGGATGTATCGGAGGGGAGAGGCGATGCTGTTCGATGCGGCATGCTAGGGAGTGGTGATGATGGTTTATGCAAGCAAAAAGTTTCCGCCAACAGTACGAGCAATGCAGTAGCGATCAAAGGGAGGGGCCTTAGCTCTAAATTGACACGAAGAGAGGAGACGTGGGGGGAGGAAGTGGAGGCAAAAGGAGGTGAGAAAGTAAACAAGATCGATGCGTGGGGGGGGCGGACGGAGGGAAAAAATGAGAAAAGGATCGTTCGATCCAAAACAAATAGCCCAAGGATTGTAAAAAGCCGTGGGGAGAGGAGTGTTGGAACTAAGGTGGTGTTAACAAGGGCACATGCGGAGGAGGGGAAGGTTGAGAAGAAGAGCATAAGGGCTAAAACAGAGAGCCCCAGAGGCCCCGGGAGCTGTAGGGGAAGGAGAGCTGGAAGCGGTAGTGATGCGGGGAAGCGTGGCCGTGGCAACTATAGTGACGGTGCTAGACGTGGTGATGATGGCAATGATGGTGACGATGGTCATAATAGTGATAATGGTGATGATGGTCATAATGATGATCATGGTGATAATGGTGATGATGGTGATGATGGTCATAATGATGATGATGGTGATAACAAGGATGATGGCGATGATGGTGAAGATGGTGATGATGGTGATGATGGTGATGATGGTGATGATGGTGGTCGCGCTGATGACGGTGATGGCGGCGATTGTAGTGGCAGTGGTAGCGACAGCGCCAATGGCAAAGGCAGGGGTAGAGGGACCAGTGGCAGCGTCGGGGGCAAGGGATTTGGCGGAGGTGGCAGTAGCAGCGGCGGTGATGTTAATGAGGATCGCCATCGGGGGGCCTCTGGAAGGTTGCGTGCGGGAAAGAAGCAGCGGCGGTGCTGGTCGCATGACATTCACAAGAGATTCCTCGATGCGCTTATAAAGCTTGGTGGTTGCTATGGTGTGTATGCCTCCCCTACAGCTCGGTGGTTGCTACGGTGTGCGTGTCCTCCCTACCGTTCTTTGCTTGCTACAGTGTGTGTGTCCCCCCTACGGCTCGTTGCTTGCTACGGTGTGCGTATCCCCCCTACTGCTCGTTGTGCGTCTCCCCCCTATTGCTCGTTGCTTGCTACGGTGTGCGTGTCCCCCCTACTGCTCGTTGCTTGTTATGGTGCGCGCGTGTCCCCATATGCTCCGCGGTTGCTACGGCGCACATGCCTCCCCTGCTGATCCGCGGTTGCTACGGCGTACATGTCTCCCCTATTGCTTGGTAGTTGTTACATGTACTATCTATTTTCTGCCATCGGTCTTTGGAGCGACGTTACATGGAAGCTCATTGTGTACTCGCTCCTTCTCGCGTTCTCCACCCGATTTCCTCCTTCCAGTTGCCACACCCAAGCAGATTAAGGAGTTGATGAAAGTCGAAGACTTGACTAACGATGAGATCAAGAGCCATCTACAAGTACTTATATTTGACCTTTCTATCCATTTTCCAGGGCTCAGAGTCAGCCATGCAACAATCTTGAGTCGTGTCAAAACCACCCTTAGAATGCAGCACCGTAGTTCCACTGCACCCACCCTCTCAATGCATAACAATAAACAATACTGCATGTCCCCCCCCCCCCCCCCCCCCTCCAATCCCTTGTGATGCCCAAACTCATATTTAGACCACGCTCTTCCCCTTTAATTCTTGATACTAAGGCATTCGTATTTTGCCTTCATATCCTCTATCCCGCACACAGAAATACCGCCTCCAGACTCGGCAGCACATTGCATCCCCTGCAGCAGCAGCAGCAGCAGCAGCAGCAGCAGCAGCAGCTGGGGTATCGGCAGCAGAAGCCCAGGCATCAGCACCTATAGCAACCACAGGAGGAGGACATGGAGGACTAGCAGCAGCAGCAACCACGTCATCAGCAGCACTCCCAGCATCAGCACAAACAGTTGGACATGTGTCTCAGGGACACGTGGCACCAGCTCATTTGCTGGTTCTGGGAAGTATTCTTGTGCCTTCATTGGCAGGCCAGATCTCCCCTTCAGAAGCACCCAATCGGCTCAACCACGTCAGCAGCATGCACCATCTTACACCTCACTTGCATGGCCATATCAGCAATGCAGATCAATTGACACTCCAGCGAATACTGCAGCAGCAGCAGCAGCAGCAGCAGCAGCAGCAGCAACAGCAGGAGTACCGCCAACAACAGCAGCAGCAGCAGCAGCAGCAGCAGGTGCGAGTTCCAGATTGGCAGAGCAGCCAGGTGGGGGCTTTTGATCCCTTCTTGCTAGTGCAAATGCAAGCATACCAACAGTTGAATCAGCAGCAATCACAGCAACATAATCTGCAGCAGCAGCAGTTACAGTCACATCAGCTGCAATCACAACAGCTGCAGCCACAACAGTTGCGGCATCAACATCCCCAACAACAGACATCCCAGAGACAGCCCCAGCCATTTGAGCTACAACCCCTGCTACATCAACAACAATCGCAGCAGCAGCACCAGCAGCATATGCAATCACCCGCAGAGCAAAACCGGAACCAGAACCAAGGAATCCATCCTGCAACCAACAGTGTTGCCCATTTGTTCTCACCAATTGCTTCTCCTCACACTGCTGCTCTCCTTTCCACTAACCCTTCTCCGCTGCAACAACCCACGGGGTCCCCTCCACTCCCTTCCTCCTTGGTCCGGCCCATTGCCCGCTCTTTCAAGAGGCCTATATGAGGTATTGAGCGTGGGTGGCATGGGTCATCGGTGGACTTGCTGCCTCTTGGTCTTATGTTTGGGGTGTCACGCAACGGCTTGTTGCAGACACTCAAAGGTGAAGGGGAAAACATGGAGTCGAAAGACAAAGGAGAGGCGAAAGTAACAAGACTAGAAGGGAAAGTAGGCAAGGTGAAGGAGCGGGGAAGGGGAGGGATGTAAGGTGCCTGTTCTAGAGCCTTATTACGGTACACTTGGGAGGGAGGTAAGGTGTCTGTTCTAGAGCCTTATTACGGTACACTTACATGTTGTATTACGGTACACTAGCTTACCCATTGCCCCTTCAATCGTGGGTGTTGTATATAATTTGTTCCAGTAATTTCTAACATGACAAGCATGCGAGTGTAAAATATACCTTGAATGTGTTGAAGAGTAAACAATGCACTTATTATGCCCCACATAGTGTTATTATTTTTCATAAGTGGATAAACAAGGTGATGGACAAGACGGATGGATGAACTTGCTATGACAGGGCTTCCCCTTCGTATCCCACCTCAGAGTCCACCATATTCCCCAACATGCCTATACAAGAGTGCGCTCTAATAAACGGAGTGTGAAAAAAAGAAACCCTTCTGGCAAAATTTCCATTGTGTTGTGTGGAAACCTCGTTTCATTCAAAACATTAAAGCGAGGATCTCAAGAAGCAGAAAACCAAACCCAAAGGTTCCGGGGGAGGGGCAGACGACGAGGACTGCGCCGCAGGACCACCAGAGTCAGAGGACTCCTCGACCGGGACAACCGACGGGAGAGGGGTGACGTGGGACATACCGGAGGGGGCAGGACGGGGAGGGGGAGGGGGGGGGGCAGGGACCACCGGGGACGGAGTGACTAGAAACAGGGGGGGAGTAACAGGAGGACCGCGGTGGGGGAAGCGACGGTAGAAGGAGACGGACTCGTCAAAGGTGACGTCTCGAGAGTGAAAGAATCGGTGAGCAGCAGGTGGTCGAAGTGCTAGTCGGACGCGTCAAGGGGGAAACCGAGGAAGACGCAGGGAAGGGTGCGGGCAGTGAGCTTGTCCGGGCAAGAGGCACGAACGTGAGCAAGGCGGCCCCAGACGTGGAACGCAGACGCGTCACCAGGAGACCCGGTCCAACGAAGGGTCGGCGAAACCTGCGGCTGCTGAGGATGCGGCCACAGGTTAAGCTGGTGAGCAGCGTAGCGCATGGCGAACGGCCACAGAAAATGGGGTGCACTGGCATGGATCATGGAGGTGCGAGCCACCTCCATGACCAAACCGATGCGTCGCTCAGCGACCCCATTCTTCTGTGGGAAGTCCGGCAGGGTGAACGTCTGGGTGATGCCCTCCGCACGACAGAAGCGACCAAGGACACCTGAGGCAAACTCGCCACCACGGTCGGAGTGAAGACGCAAGACAGGGAGACCTCGGTGGACACGGGCTGAGACAAGCCAGGGGATGAGAGCGTCAGGCACGTCGGCCTTGCGCTCTAGGGGAAAGAATGTGGTGTAGCGAGTGAAGTCGTCGACAAGCACGAGGAAGTAGCGCTCTCGACGCGGCCCATGGACGGGGGCGGGGCCCCAGACGTCCATGTGCGGGTCTGCAGCGGCGCGGCGGTAGGGGGAAACGAGGAGGATTGAGGGGCACGGCGAAGCCGACCCTCGACACAAAGCGTGCAAGGTGGGGCGGGGGAGGAGGGAAAAGCGGGGAACGAACCAGGGAGATCAAGGACGAGACCGTGCTGGGACATGTGACGTAGACGCGGGAGTGCAGGGTGACCTAGGCGATGGTGCCAAAGGAGAGTCGGGTGAGTGAAGGACCAACAGGAGCAGGCAGCACCAACCTGGGTAGACGCAGCGACCTCAAGGGGCGCGCTAGCCGGGGGGGTCACGGTGTCCAGGGTGAACAGGCCGGACACCGGGTCCCAGGGGAACGTGGACAGCGGGGCACCTGTGGTGGCCTCAGTACAGACAGCATACCGCTCGTGACCAGGGAACGTAGTGGTGACGCCAAGGTCCTGGAGGCAGCCGACACCAACTAGGTTCCTAGAGAACGAGGGGATATGTAGACCTGTAAGAGAGCCCGAAGGAACCGCCGGACAGGGAAGGGTGGTGGAACTGCGGGCGACTACTGGACCGGCGGAGGGGTCAGCAAGAGAAACTGCAGCAGGAACAGGAAGCGGCGTCAGCGTAGTGGAGTCGCGGAAGAAACACCGGGAAGCGCCAGAGTCCAAGGTGAAGGGAGCGAAGTAGTGGCGTCTGGCGATGGGGCGACGGCGGAAGCACCAAGGCTAAACAAAGCAGGAGCTCCTACGCCTGACGCAGCAGGGGAGGCTAAGCTAGGCACACCTACACTAGGCGACAAGGAGTAATAATAGGGGAGCACACTAGAGTCATCAGCGTACATCACATGCAGGGTAGAAACAATGGCATCCATGTCCATGTCAAAAATCTGAACTCTACAACTAAGCAAACTGTGCCAGTCCGGGAGGTCGGGCGACTGGCCGAAGCGCTGACGAAATAGGTCGTCCAAGCGACGAAAACAGCAGGCAGTGGCGTGACCGATCTTACCGCAAACGAAGCCGCGACGAGGACCGGTCTGGATATGGTACTGACAGCGTATGCCTCCCGAACCGCCACCCGGCACACCACCACGCGCACGACCACCACCAGCGCCAGGCCACCCGGGCGGGAGGGCACTCGCCTGCCTCGGCTGCGGCGGCTGGTGAGGCTGCTGCGGCTGCTGTTGCTGCTGGTGCGGCTGCTCAGCTGGACTTGGCAGGGTCCCCTCGTCCGCTCCACCACCAGACGACCCGACTCCACCACCACCTCCACCTGCACCCCCACCTTCTCCCCCGCGCCCAGCTTTGGGGCGGCGACCTTTCCCCGGCCGGAACTGCGCTGCAGCGGCGGTCTCAGCCACAGCTGCAGAACCATCGGAGAAGGTGCACTGAGCAGGGGCACAACCCTGAAAGATAGGGACCGGCACAGTACCGCTCGCCTGGGCGATAGAGCGGTGGCGGGTCTCAATAACAGTCAGGGTGTCTACAAAGTCTGTAAGGGTGTGGTCACCGGGGTGAATGCTAAGGAAGCGGTCACGAGCAGCGGCAAGACAGCCAGGGAGGCGGGTGGCAAGCAGGTAGAGGGTAGAGGTAAGGGGCGGCTGGTGGGCATTAGCTGTGCGTCAGTGCAGGCAGCGCGCCAGGTCTCATCTATCGTGCGCAGGTGGGCAGCCAGGTCAGCGACAGTGGGGAAAGACGCAAGGTCAGGAAAGAGCATCGGTAGGATCAGGCGACCCACCGAGGCAGCAGGCGGGGCGGAATAGCGCCGGATAACAGCATCTAAGAAAGCCTGGGCAGTGGTGATAGACCTAAAGCGAGGGCGCTCAGACGGGGGGAGGGCATTGCTGATGGCAAGCTGTGCGACAGCGTCACGGGAAAGCCAGACAGAGCGAGCGAGGGCAGCGGCCGCAGTAGACTCGCGCTCAGCAGGTGTGGGGTCAGCGGGCAGCACAGAAGGGGGGTCTGGGCAGGGAAGCGTACCGTCAAGATGTGCCGAGAGCGAGTGGCCATCCTGCTGCTGACCAGTGAGGTGGCGGCGGAGGTCGGCTAGCCACGCCTCAAACTCCAGAGGCTGGCCTTCAGCGTCGAAGCGAAGCTCCGCCGCCATCCGGAACAGTGCAGGGCAGGACCAGGTGAGGCAGTGCAGCGCGGTACAGTGCAGTGCGATACAGCGCGGTGCAGTGCGGTACAGTGCGGTGCAGCGTGGTACAGTGCGGTACAGTGCGGTGCAGCGCGGTGCCGTGCGGTGCAGTGGGGTGCAGTGCAGGGAAAGGTGGTGGAGAACCCTACCAGGGAGGGTGCAGTGCAGTAGTGGGCCCGAAGAGCGGGCCGCACGCAGATCGGCGGCTGTCCGGCGGGAAGGTGAGCAGGGCGTGCGCAGGGGTCGGCAGAACGGGCCCAGGGGCCAGTAGCGGCGGGCGCCAGGCCGGCGAGGACGGGCGCGGGGGCCAGGTAGGACGGGCGCGGGGCCGGGGAGGGTGGGCACGGGGCCGATAGGACGGGCACGGGGGCCTGCAGGACGGGCACGGGGGCCTGCAGAACGGGCGCGCGGGCGCAGCTAGGACGGGCGCGCGGGCGCGGCTAGGTCGGGCCGCTAGAATGGGCGGCTAGGGCGCGGTTAGGTCCTAGAGCGGAAGCGTGGGCGGGGGCGGGACCTACCTACTGCTGATTCCATTTTAGAACTGAACGAATAATTGAGTAGGGAGAGAGTACAAGCGAATATACCTAAGTGTTGTACCCTCTAAGAGGTGACCCTATACAGTCTATGCAAACATTAGAGATACACATGTTTGACGCATTCGACATCCCTGGAGGACTGGGTTTACTGAAATTTTACCTGGGAAGTTGGGAGCTGTTTCTTCTTGGAGGGGGGAGAAATGTAGCAGTGCTGCAAATTCTCGAAGACCCTTCCGGCGTGTTCCAACATCCATCTTTGACGAACATTCGTTTCAGTTACGCTTCCGCTCCTGCGCTCGATAATTCGTTGATAGAGTTTTGCTGATTTTCGTAAGACACAGACGTGTGCCTTCGCATGTGTCACGGACGACCTCGCGGATTGATGAACGGTTCCTCGTCAACCATCGGCCACGTCATTCGACAGTTCATAATTACTCGGGATATTTATCATGCAGGCGTCATCATCAATCATCCACTCGACAGTTTTACTGTTCACAGTCTTCTGCTTGAGTATTTATCCTTGCCTGTTTGGTTAGCTGGAGAATTCGATATCATCGATAGCTAAAATTATAAGCGATCGTTTCGATGCTTTTTGGCCCTCGTTACAGGGCTGGAGACCTACAGTCACATCGGGGATGATTTAAACGAGAATTTCGGCCTCGATAATGGGAGTGCTTTCTTTAGAAGGTGGGAGAGTGTATGATTCCTCCCACACCCTGTCAGCACAAAGTTGTGAACGAGCGAGCAAGCATGCTTGAGCAGCACGTGCCAAAAAGCTGATTTGACGTGTGCGGGAAATGATTACAAGACCAGCCCAGTTGCATTGGCTCGTACGAGCCTCTTCCCAAGCAACTTCTTCCCGTCATCTAAGAGCGTGCTCCAGAGTGAATCCGTTTCAGATTTGCGTTTCACCGCTCTCAACCAGATTCGCGCGACTCTGGAACAAGGTTCGCCCGAGAAGTGGTTTAGAAACACGCATTCAATATTAGTATGTCCAATCTCGCGTCGCACAACGCGGAACCGCACTGAACAATTTCGTGTCAAAATTCGGGACACTGTAGCGCTCGAGTCTGGGAAGAGGTTCCCTGGGAAGAGGTCTGTAGGAACACGCTCCCTGAAAACCATGCCACCTAACAGCACTTGTTGCCTCATTTTCGCTGCTCCCTGCCCTGATTTCTCCCGCTGTCGTTCCCTGCCTATCTCTCTCGATGCTCCCGCCCAAATAAAATGTTGACAAGGAAAATCAGGGTGTAGAAGAAAACACCCTGACAGCATCAGGGTATTGACTTAGTTTTCCCAAAACACCCTGATTTTGTGAAGGTACGCTATCAGGTGCCCATTCCGTCAGGCCTTTTTTTTTTTGGTAAGCCGATCCCTAAGGGCTTTTTTTTTTGGTACCGTATTCCCCCGGATATACGCCCCTAGGTGCTTATAGGGATTATAGTCATAATTTTGGGGGTGCGTTTAATTGGATTTTTTTTATATGGCACGGTGCGTTAAAAACGTTCTTAAGGAAAATTTTGAAACGAACATGAACATGTAGCTAGAACAAATTGCAATCGAATGGAATGCTCCCAAACGGGAACAACCAGAGAAGTCCCGCCAAAATCGCTTCCCAGACGATTGACGCGTCAGCCAAGCAGCACGTTCGCTGCAGTTTGCCAGCGTGCAGGCTAGCGTGGGCGATCCTGGCCATCCGTTCTCTCATCTGACACGGCAGCAGAGCTTTGCCGACCACACCTTCGATGAGTCGGAAGGCCAGGGGTCGATTTTGTGTGATGAAGTGATTCGTCACGTAAACTTGATGCCAAATGTACAGTCAACATAGTCAGTGCGAGATTCCCACGGGGAAAAGGGGGGTGCGTATAGGGATTAGAATCTGGAAAATGGGGGGGTGCGTATCATTGGCACATCCGATATGGCACCCCTCCGGATATACGCACCATGGTGCGTTTTAGCTGGCGGTGCGTATATCCGGGGGAATACGGTAAGCCTAAAACTAATTTTGTGCCCTGGGCAACGCGCAACATGCGTACCTATAATATAAAACAAACTCAAATTCCTACAATGCGTTTCCCGTGTCGACAATGTAGTCATGGCATCATTCAAACCCGGAAGACTCAAATTGGGTAACCATGTTGAGGAGAGTATGGGACAGGCCTTACTCTGGGCATAAGAGGCAGCTTGCGCATACAAATAAGCGCATCTCATATCGGTATACAGACCATAGAAACGTGTTTATATGCTATAAGACTGGTAACCATCTTCAGCTCGTGTCATGCCTTCCTCCCAGTAATCCATCTTTGAACCGCCAACAGTAACCTTCTTTATACCCACGTGGCTGCAGGAGGGGAACAGGGAAAAAACAAGAGCAGTGAATGAACTCTCCCCAGGGCACAGGGAAAAACAATTCTTTTGGGGGGGGGGGGGGGCTTTAAGGAGAACTCACTTGATAATACCAGACAGGACCCCTTGAGTATCGGATAATTCTTCAAACTCAGTCTACTGAAGGAGGGAGCTTGCACACAGGATGGCACTATGCACTTACTCTGAGCTCGCGGCATTGGGAGAGTTTGAGGAGAATATGGGACAGGCCTTACTCTGGGCATAAGAGGCAGCTTGCGCATACAACAAGCACCCAAGAGGTGGTCCACCAATCACAGCACCCCTTCCACTTACTCTGAGCTCACGGTGTTGAAGAAGTCGAGGAGAATACCAGACAGGCCTAAGAGGCAGCTTGCCCTCGTAAGCATGCAAGCAAGCGGAGTTCTCTCAATCGTAAGCACCCTTTCAGTCTTCAGACTCACTCTGAGCTCACGGCATTGAGGGAGTTGAGGAGCATATGGGACCTGCCCTGGGCATAAGAGGCAGCTCACACCCACAACAAGCGCCCAAGTCACAAGCACCCTTTCAGACTCACTCTGAGCTCACGGCGTTGAGGGAGTTGAGGAGGATATCAACCGCCATCATGTCAGCCGTGCCCATGTCAAGCCTGCCAGAGAGTGTGTGTGGGCACGCGCGTGTGTGTTGTGGGGTGGCAGGGGGGGTGTGGGGGGCGGGGGTGTTGGAGAGGAGGAGGGGACAGGGAGGAGTTGAGGAGGATATCAACTGCCATCATGTCAGCCGTGCCCATGTCAAGCCTGCAGAGAGAGAGAGAGAAAGAGTGCGCACCTCTGCACGCACCTTGCTTGCCTTGCTCCTGCATGCCAACCTTGTATCTCGCTTCTATCAATACAACGGACCGCTTGAGAGAGTGTGCGCATGCGTGTGCGGGGAGTGGGAGGACGAGGGGACAGGGAGGATTTGAGGAGGATATCAACTGCCATCATGTCAGCCGTTCCCATGTCAAGCCTGCCCAGGGGGAGGGGGGTGTTGAGCAAACGAAAAGGGGGACAAGGAGGGGTTGGGTACATTCTTGAGTGGGGATGGAGAGGAAATGGGGCGAGGGGGAGTGCGGACGATGTAACCCATTTCAACCATCTCCATGTGGCGGTGGGGGACGGATGCTGCCGTGCACACACTGCAGTGTAACCACCTCTGGTAACCAGCACTATTCAACATCAGTACTCTCTGTGTAAACCTCACCATATTCGCCCCGGGTTGTCTTGGAACTCAAGGTCACCAACATTGTGCGTCATGGCAGGGAGGGCGGATGGGAGCCAGCGCCACTATTAATCTTCACTGGAAACCAAGACTAGCATCCCTCCCTCCCATCACTACCATCTCACCATATCCGCCCCAGGTTGTCTTGAAAATCAAGGACACCAACGTTGTGCATCATGGCAGGGAGAGCAGCCGCTGCTGTGCACAGTGTATATGGTAACCACCTCGGGTAACCAGGAGAAGTAACCCTTTTTTAACAACTCCATAGGTGGGTCTCTCACCATATTCTTCCCAGGTTGTCTTGGAACTCAAGGTCACCAACATTGTGCATCATGGCAGGGAGAGCAGCCGCTGCTGTGCCGACATTGTACTTGTACTTGGACGACTCGTCTCCCTCCATAAGCTAGCAAGGTTCAGAGTGGGTGGATAAGGGAAAGACACAACAACACTGATTGCAGCCGCTGCTGTACTCACGTTGTGCCTGTGCTTTTTTTCCATGCACAATGGAAGTAAAGTACAGGCAACAACGTGAGCAACAGAACGGAACCGGAAGGAGGTGGAGGGGAGAAAAACAAAGAGTGAGGTGGTTGGATGGTTGGATGGTTGGATGTGACTAGCACAAAGGCCATGCTGCTGTATCGTTCACGTCGAATTCAACCTTGAGAAATTAGATGCTGCGGTATCCATGTCAAACTCATACTTCACAAATAAATCCCTTCCGCCGAGTTGACTCAGAAGTCACCTCCCTCAAATCGTACCTGTAGGTTGGCAGAGTTGTAGCCTCCCAACTTGCCCACCACATACCATGCTCTGATAACCTGGCATGGTGGGAGAGGGGGGAAAAGGAGGAATGGTGGGGGGGGGTGAATTAGAGGCGTTTACCCCCCCACCCCACCCAAGACCCATCTAGAGAATGGGGGAGAAAGAGCAGAAGAGGAGAAGGTGGGCCAAGAAAACGATAGGAGAGACTTTGAACAAAGGCCTTGTCCTATGATCCTGCTGGCGCGATTTTTGAGCCACTGCCTGACTTTTGAGCCACCGCCACCTGACTTTTGAGTTACGGTGCCTGTGTAGGATCACCGCCAGACTCAAATTCGGCCTTGTCCTAAGATCCTGCTGGCGTTTCCTGAAGAGGGAAAGGCAGACCTTAGAGTGAAAAAAAAAAAAAAAAAAAAAACTGTAGCAAGAAAGGAAAGACTTATAACAGGCCAATTCACTTACACTGCCGAGTGTATTCATATCGTCTTCTGACGGAGTCTTGTGCAGCTCAAACCAGATGTACATGTCAAACGGGTCAATCCTATAACGGGGATAGGGAGTGGGGGAGGCAAGGAAAGAAGGGAAAAAGGAGTTAGCCAGGGTTTTCTGAACAGCTCCTTTTGAGGAGCCTAAAAAAAATGCTGAAAAGCCCAACCCTGATGTACATGACAAACGGGTCGATCTTACAATGGGGATAATGGGATAGGGGAAGGAAAGGAGGAAGATTTGATTCAGAGAACGCGGCTCAAGCTGTAATGTTTAACAGCTCAAGCTGTGATTTTTTAAAAGCCCAAGCAGTGATTTTTTAAACAGCTCAAGCTGTGAATTTTTAAAAGCCCAAGCTGTGATTCTTTAACAGCTCAAGCTGTGATTTTTTAAAAGCCCAAGCTGTGATTTTTTAACAGCCCAAGCTGGACGTACAGCCAAAATGAGTCATCTCATCAACACCGGGGACAGATGCAAGAGTAACAGTGAACACTTTCACGTAAAATGCAATGTGCAGGTATTAAAGCGTTAACGTAGAAATTTTCAAGCAACACGCCCTTTACTCACTCTTTGATGGCCACTTGCATTGTGGATCCGCTGCCTCGCTTCTCCTCCAGCAGCTCTGCCTGCTTCGATCTAATGCGCTCCTCCATCTGACAGAGGGTTGGGGTTTCGGGTTTAGGGGCAGGGTTAAAATTTACAGCTCTGGCTGCTTCGATCGAATGCGCTCCTCCATCTGACAGGCAGAGCAGAGGGGCCAGGAGTTTTGGGTTTAGGGGCAGGTTCGACGCTTTGAAGGGGGTTCGAGTGTGCGGCGGCTCTGCCTGCTTCGATCGAATGCACTCCTCCATCTGACAGAGGGTCAGGGGTTAGAGGGTCCAGATTTAGAGGGTCAGAGTTTAGATTCTTAGCTTTGCCTGATCCGATTGCATGCACACGACAGTGTTAGGTTTCTGAGAACTCTCAAAAATCTAAACAAGGCATGGAATACTTTGCGAGTGAACCGAATCATACCTTCACTGCTGTCTGTGACAAGCCTGCTCCCACGCCTCACCTTCTCCTGCATTTGCTGCGGATCCAGCATGGCGTCTCCGAATATCTCCATCAGCTCGGGGTCCTTGGCGGCTACCTGGCTGGTGGAACACAAGAGAGAAGGGGTGGTGGGGTATATGGGATTGTGGGGGTGTGGGCGTGAGAGAGGGAGAGCGAGGGTCCAGCATGGTGTCTCCGAATACCTTCATCAGCTCGGGGTCCTTGGTGGCGGCTACCTGGCTGTAGAACACGACAGAGACGGGAAGTGTGTGTGCGAGAGAGGGGGGGGGGGGGGGGGGGGGGAGTATGGGCGTAGTCACACTCCATTTATGCATGTCTGCTACACCGTTTTATGCTCCCGCCCTCCCAAATCCCCCCCCTCCCTCCTTCCCCTTTTTTCTAAAACTTAAACCCCCTCTCTCCCCCTCTCTCCCCTTCTCTCCCCCTCTCTCCCCTTCTCTCCCCCTCTCTCCCCTTCTCTCGCCCTCTCTCCCCCTCACCTCGGCCACTGCTCAAAATGATCGGAAGTCACCTTTCTCTGACTCCCCTTCATCCCTCATTCTTCTCCCTCGCTCCCTCGCTCCCTCGCTCCCTCGCTCCCTCGCTCCCTCGCTCCCTCGCTCCCTCGCTCCCTCGCTCCCTCGCTCCCTCGCTCCCTCGCTCCCTCGCTCCCTCGCTCCCTCGCTCCCTCGCTCCCTCGCTCCCTCGCTTCCTCTCCCCCTCACCTCGCCCACTGCTGAAACTCCTCTTCCCCCTTCTCTCAACGCGCATCTCAAACTCCCTTCTCTCTGCCTCCCCTTCAACTCAAACTCGGCTTGATCGTTCCCTCTCCCCCTCTCTTTCCTCTCCAACCCCCCCCCCCCCCCCTTCCCTCTCCAACTCACCTTGCCCACTCCTGAAACTCCTCTTCCGCTGATTCTCTCCTACTCACACATTCCTTCATCCCCCCCCCCCCCCCTCCCCCCCCCCCTCACCTCGCCCACTCCTGAAACTCCTCTTCCGCCGCGTCTCTCCGCTGCACCCGCGCCTCCCGCGTCTTCTCCAGCCGCCGCTGCCGCGCGGCGCTCATCCCCTCCGCGCGCCCTCCCCCGATCCGCCTCCCCCCGCTGCGCATCTCCGCGCTTCCCTCTCCGCCACTGAACGACCCACTACCGTTAACGCCCATCCCCTGCCACTCCTCTATAATAGGGTTACCACCACTACTATTGGTACTAAACCCTCTGCTGGTGCCACTACTAACGCTGCTAAACCCTCCGCGGCTGGATTCGTTTGGCTCAAATCCGCCGCTTTCGCCGCCGCCACTCGCGCTGCGGGACTGCGACTCGGGCCCTCCTAAATCCGAACTTTGAGGCGATCCTAGATCCGAACCCCTAGACGATGCTACATCTGCCGAACCGCCACTAAGCCTCGTTCGCCTCCTCTGCCGCCCACGGCGCGTCGGCTCGGCCGCATCTGCCGGCGCGTCGGCGCGTCGCTCCTGCGGCGACGTGCTTCCCTCTCGTCCCTCCGCCGCTGCGGCGGAGATAACTAACGCGCCGCGCGCGCAAAGACTCGAGGTGTCATTCGGTTTTCCGACAATCTTGAAAGGCAGCGAGATATGCAGTGGGAGAGGGCGCAGCGGGAGAGGTGACTTTTGAGTCGAATCGAAAGGCAGCGAGATAGGATGCAGCGGGAGAGGTCGCAGAGGGAAAGGACGGAGCGGAGGGCCGCTGACGAAACATGCGGTGGGGAAAATCAGCCGTGCATCAGCAGCGGCGTGAAACACGGCTAGCGAGCCGCTTCGCACGAGCATTTCTGAATGCCTCTCTACGCGCAGTTACTATCACCACTGGAAGCTTTTGAGAATTCACAAGTACTCTCTAGGCGCAGCTAATATCGCTATCGGAAGCCCTTCCCCTTGGCACTTAACGGGGAAATTACTGCCGCGGACTGTCCGCAATCTTTTCATACTTTCGTGGACAGCCCCTACTTTCATGGACACCACATCAACCTTTCGCTTCTCCCGTGGACTCCGTCCCTACTTTCATGGACATCCGCCTTACTTCCATGGACAAGGTCGAAATCGCAGGAAATAGGCGAAAACTCAACTGTACAAAAAATGACGGGCGCTGAAAAAAAAAAAAACAGCGGCTTAGCGTGCGTCGCAAAGAGTCGCGCACTACAGTGCCCCAAACCTAATCCAAAACAGAATCAGAATTATATTTCAAAGAAGCATTTTTATTTAGAGCCCTGTTAAAAAACATAATATATTTTGGAAGTTATGCAGGGAAATTCTCCAAAAACATTAATCATGAGAAAGAAACCTTTCTTTTTGCGAATATGATGTAAACAACAACAGCAGCACTAGTCTGAACTGGTAGACAAATTTACAGAGCGTACTGATTTTTCCTTTTGAAGTACAGTTACGTAGAAACGCGTGGGTACTGCCTTCCGAATCACACATCACAAGACTTTTTTTGCCAAACACACCAAACGAAAACCTGGCGTGAAAGTCATGTTCCCAATTTCGGTGAGATTCTGTTTCAGATTAGGTTTGAAGCACTGTGGTGCGCGACTCTTTGCGACGCACGCTGAGCCGCTGTTTTTCTTTCTTTCAGCGCCCGTCATTTTTTGTACAGTTGGGTTTTCGCCTATTTCCTGCAATTTTGACCTTGTCCATGGAAGTAAGGCGGATGTCCATGAAAGTAGGGACGGAGTCCACGGGAGAAGCGAAAGGTTGATGTGGTGCCCATGAAAGTAGTGGTTGTCCACGAAAGTATGAAAAGATTTGCGGACAGTCCGCGGCAGTAATTCTCCCGGCACTTTACGCTTTCGTGTCGAATCTAAAGCGGAAAACGCAGGGGTGTTTGAAGAGTACGTACTGCAGCATTTTGGTGAAGCATGGGGCCTCCTCTCAGAGGGTTTTCCTATTGATCGTTGATCTTGGTGGTTGATTTCGGTTTAGTATCCCCATCGATCGAAACCAACCAGTTTTGAGCCATTCAACTCGGTCTGTTGTGCGTCCGCACAGCTCTTTTCGTCAAAATCGTGACCAATCATCCGATATCCGGCGAAACCGGTGTGCGTGCTGGAACCAAACTGTATAAGGTCTGTCGGGCAGGGCCGTCATAAGCGAGGAAACGTTTTGTCAGAATAAGTGAAGCGGGTAAACCCAAAAAAAAAATGCAACAAGCAGCTCTGCAATCCCTGCAAATTTTGCCCTTCACATATGGCGTAGCATTTCAACAGTTTCTGGGCACTGCGACAGTCATTTACACCTTGAGCCTGACAGAGGAACACAACTTTTCAGGGTGCCAGTAGACAAAAACGCACAGGGGTTTCGAACGGTATCGTCACGGGCATGTGGGCCTTTCGCACGGGCACGAAGGTTACCATTTTGATGTTTTGCGGGGTAGGTTTGAGTGGCATATTTTGGCGAGCCATTGTTCACTTAGTCACCCTGTGTTAAATTTCGGCGCTTTCAAGCAAGAGTGAGTTTCTCTGGTGTAGGACCAGAGTGGTGGTTGGCGGGTGAGATGTTGAGTGAGTTTCTCTGATTTGGTTTACTCCCTTTTATACTCAGTGAAATGTGGCGAAAATTGTTGCGGCGCACATCTTTCGTCTTGTGCCGCATGTTCGTCACCGCTGTCATGATGACGCTGCACTGTTGGCTTTGTTCACGGCCCACGTTGAGTGGGCCGTTGCCCGTGTGCCAACGCTAATGGGCGATGGTTTCTGATTGGGCCACGTATTAAGCTGGGCCTTAGGTGTGCACCCTGTGTATCTCTTCCAGAGAGTCTGTCGCTGACTTTAGTCGCATTTTCGTCAATATTCGTTATTGCCCTCACCGTTTGATGTCGCAAGAGGTGAACGAAGAGGCAATCGAGGTCAGCTTTGTTGACCAACATCTCACCAACATCAACCACCCAGATCAACGATCGATGGGAAAACTCTCTAAAATGGCATTCCTGCAAAGTTTGGGGGGCCAGTCAAATTAGCAGTTCCAGTTTTTCCTACTCCACAAATATTCAGGTATATTGTACAGTCCGAATGTACAAGTTCGAGACCGCCATCGCGCCATTTTTTATATCTGTGGAAAGCAACTCTCCAATCTCTTCGTATTGGAGTAATTAGGCTTACTGCATATGAAAGCTACACTCTTGGGCAACTACGTGAGATGGGCAAACGTACGAACGCGATCTAAGAGCGTGTGTCGAAGGACAGAGTAACGAGGGAACAATACAACTAAGGCAACATCAAAATAGCAGAGAGCATGGATACAGCTAGCCTAGAGCACTCGGTCGTGGCTCGGCAGAGCTGTAACGTGTGCTTCATAAATTGGCGCGAAGCGCTTAGATCTAGGCTTGTGTTGGAAATACCTCAAGGACTTGAGCGTTTCTGAAGTGTAACACTACACTTGAGTAAAGCCGTATCGGGTATGCGAGTCAGCGGAGGTTACACGAGGAGGTTGGACGAAAGAACACGAAAGGACGAAAGACTCGAAGGGTCGCAACCGGAGGTTGCGACTGACCGTTACAACTGCAAGGGTGGTAACCGAATCGACCATGGAGTCGCTGTGCGACTCGATAACCGTTCCTTCGACTGTATTCTACAACTGCTTTACTTTCCTATTTTCTATATATTGCTCTATGCTTGTTTCTTTTAATCAATCACTTGCTCTCACATACTAGTGCAAGAGTTCAACTACTCAACTTCCGCTGCACTACTCAAGTATCTTGTACAACTGGGACTTAGTCTCTGAAATATCCTAAGGGCTTTTTCTCAGCCCAACAGCTTGAAACAACAAGGCGGGCAAAATGCATGCGGCTTGTCAGGAGGCCACATTTGGGTACCGCGATTTGAATTTCGTTGCAGAGCTGCACGGCAACCCCATTATAGCAGTGTACGCCTTACTAACGTAAACCCGTGATAAGGAAATACCATTTCCTTACACCCTACCCCCTCCTAGGTATGGTCTTAGCTACGACCGCCGACGTCGTGCACATTGCGTGATTTGAGGTAGACTCATAACACCGAGTAATTCTCGATCTGTGCCAGGGGCACCCAACTGTTTTCCAGGGCCGTCCGGTCCTTCCAATATATCATAAACTCGATCAGGCGAGCCCCTCGAGGGTCCTTGATCCAATGGCTGAGAACCTTCGCATATGGAATGATGGGCTGATGTTCCATGTGGCCGGTAACAGTAGGTGGGCTGTAACGGAGAATGTCATGTGGCTGATGGTAAATGGTCCACAGTACTAAAACTCGAGCCTGGTAAGTTACTGCTCGTCGATGTAGATTGGCGTTGCGCTCATAAATAACATTCGCGCGCTTAATGGCTTCAGCTGCTCGCTCTCGGACATTATGTTATATTTCGGCGAACTATTGGGCTTGAGGTACAGGATTTTCAATGTTGGACGTGATCGGTACTGTAGGGTTCTGCCCGTAATTCTGGTGATTGTCGTGTAGGGTTCTGACGAGGCGTTATTATACGCAAACTCAATAAGTGGTAGTTGCTGCTCCTAGTCGGCCACGCCATTACAGGTGGCGCGAATCAGCCGCTCCATCGTATGATTGGCCCGTTCGGTCTGTCCGCCAGCCTCGGGGTGGTAGGCGGAGGAGAATTGCAGGCGCATACCAAACTGTTCCCAGAGATTGCGCCAGAAGTTACTGGTGAATTTCGTGTCACGATCCGAAAAGATGGCGGATGGAATTCCATGGAGGCGAACGACGGTTGAGATGAAAGGGCGGGTTGTTTCTTCGGCTGAGATGCTTTTCTTGCATGCGGCAAAATGGGCCATCTTTGTCAGCTTATGAACGACGACAAATATCGCGTCATTATATCCGTCCTTGGCAGGCAGTCCCGTGACGAAGTCCATCATCACCTGCTGCCACGCACGCTCAGGCGGCGGAATCGGCTGCAACTGTCAAGATGGCTTCTGCTTCAATGATTTCATGGTTTGGGAGGATCTGCACGAAACCACATGCCGCTGCACGTCCCCTTGCATATCGGGCCATAAATCATATTTGGTCAACTACTGTCACGTTTTCTCCACTCCGAAATGCCATGAAGCGGTACTGTTATGGGCTTCCTATAGCAGTAATTCTCATAAGAAGCTGTACTCAGGTACCCAGATGCGGTCAGTCTCTGTCTTTACATAATAGACTCTCTTAGCTGTTGCGAGCTGTTCGTACGCACCCGACGTAAAGAGTTTGTCCGTCTGGTACCCGTGGGTGAATAAGCCTGTTAAAAGCGAGGAAGTTTTGGCGAGAATGATGGAGTTAAGGTCGGCGGATGGGCGAGAAAGGGGGTCTGCAATGTTCGATGCCCTTTTTTTGTACGTGACAGTGTAGTGGAAATTGGATTCCATGAAATCCAACCACCTGATCTGTCGTGGGTTGAGCAGTGGCTGTGCGCGGATGTAACGTAGGCTTCGGTGGTCTATCCGTACTATCACGTCCGCGCCCGTCAGGTAGCACCACCGCACCTTGAAGGTGTGCACGATCACAAGCATCTCCTTGTCATTGGTTGGATAATTTCGCTCGGGCGGGTGCAGCTTTCGTGACTCGTACACGATTGGCTATAGGTTTTCGCAGAAGTCCTGTAACAGTACTGTTCCGATGGCGATGTCGCTGGCGTCTGTGATCACTTCGAATGGACGGTGAGGATCGGCGGTGCGAAGAACAGGGGCTGAGCACAGAAAAGTTTTGAGCGCAGAGAATTCAGCTTGCTCTTTCTCCCCCCACATATACTCACTCCCTTTCTGCAGCAGGTCAGTTAACGGTGTAGTTACCCCCGCCATATTCGGGATAAACCTCGCCATGGCGATCAATTATGTTCGGAGATTT